ATTCATTTGATATCAGTGATAGATTGTTATTAACTGCAGATTGGAAACTCAATGACTTTCAAAAAACTTACCTTAATCTTTCAAAAACTAAAAAATGGCCAATATCAAATACAACTAATACTAGAATTCAAAGAGGTTTGCTAGAAACGATTTATGGCGATTATCTGAAAGTTTCATTATACTTTACTAGTGATTTCAGTACACTTATTGATGAGCTTAACTTTTTCAAAAATCAAAAATATCGTGGCCAGCAACCAACTTTTATCTTTCACATGAATAACATCTTGAGATCTTTGAAGGAAACGGATAAGAAATATGCTGCTGTACCAGATGCAAAACTTGAGCCTAAGAAAGCGATAAAACCTGAAGAAATTGCAATAATTGCTGAAGAATATGCAACAAAAGTTTATGATTGTGATTGGATTTTAGATTCCGACGATTTTGTGGAACAATTCAAAATACCCAAAAATAGACGTATTATTGCTTTGCAACTTTACATTATGTTGAGTTTCTTATATAATTACAATGAAAATAAATGGACATCAATTATGAATGATATCAATAGCAAACATAAGAAATTCAAAGCTCCTGATTTTGGATGCTCAAAACTTGATAACGATCTCATCAAGGACACGATTTCTGATATGTTAACCTCAATTGAGACTCATTACAGAACGACTGATCTTGAATTCTATAAATTGATGAGGTATGTTGTTAGTTACGGAGAACATGAATGGAAGTATCTTAAATTAAAACAATTCAATCATCCCGCAACTAATGATTTGATTTCGTTATCCGATTTCAAGAAAAGAAAAGCAGAAGAACATCTCGAAAAATGTCATGACGTCAAAAGACCATATACTCATAAAATGGGAACTGCTAAACTAACCAAAATATGGAGTATCAAAACTGGTTTGGATGAAATCAAGAACAAGCAAGTTGATGCAGAAGAGAAGTTGGATTCTTATAGGGATGATCTTTACTTTATATTTGGTAATTTGGAAGGGAAAAAACAAGAACTCGAGACAGCTACAGAGGACAAAAAATCAAAGGCTGCAAAAGAGTTGAATGATCTCAAACAAGAAAAAGATCTTCTAAATTGGAAATCGTTAAGGTTGGCTAGAAGCCTAGGATACTGGACTAGATTTAGTCAAGTTAATGAAAATGTAGGATTGGATGGATTGTTTGACGCAGATCTTATTCTTAAAGAGCAGAATAATTGACTATACCACGTTTAATATTTGAATAAAATCACTACTCTTATACCTAGCCGTAATCATTCTCAGGAACGTAAATCAAAATGGTAGCAGGAAGCATACATGCTACCAAAAATATGACATAATCGATTACACGAAAAATAGAATTCAAAAGAGCCGCATCCTCAGTAGTGTCACGTGATTTTTCAAAATCCAGTCTCGGTGTTTGCAGAACGCTTGTCAAGTTGACTCCACACTTTTTTTTTTTTTTTTTCAGGCTCTTGGATCCCCAATTGGAAAGCAGGAGGGAAAGTGTTCTAAAACAATGTTGATACTCAGAAAATGTTTTTTTTTCTTCTCTTTTTCTTTGAATAGGGAAGCACACAAAGGTTATTTGATTCTTGCATCTGGTTTTTTTCGAACTTCTAACATCAAAGAATGCCTTCTATCTCACAACACGGAGGAGAAGAGACTAACTCTGTCTCAGCATCTGTTGCATTATCATCAGCTACCATCAGCTCTCCTTTCGGTTTACCATTAGATCCATATGAATTAAAGGGTAAGGTCTTGACTTCTCCTTATAATTTATTATTGTCCACCACTTACTTGTTATCAAACAAGATTTTCAACTATGGCGTCTTGGGTGACTCTGAAAATTCAGCTAACAAGTCTATCTTGAACTTATGGTCAAACTTGAAAAGAAAAAATTTGAACGAGATTGTTCCTGAGCTTTACAACTTGGAGATCAGAAATGGTGCTGGTAACTTACTATTAGGATACTTGAACGAATCATCCTCAAACGATCCAATCTCTGTCATTGTTCCAAGTTCTGCATTAACTTTCATGGAACCTGTTTTGTTACATCAAAATCACTTGAACTTGCCAATCTCTTTCCAAGTTGCTACTTTAGACTATGATTTTGCCAATTCCAAACTAGTTTCAAATTACTCATTGACTTTATCAATTGCCAAAAACTTGAAATTGCCAATCGTTACATCTTTGAATGCTGTTGAATCTCAACATTTGAGTATCTTGTCATCAGTCTTATCAAGATTCGATCTAACCAACTTACACTTGTTTGATGGTTTATCATTCATCAAGACTAACGAAACTATCGATGGTGCTTTAACAAATGACAAAATCAGATCAACTTATGATGAATTATATGCTAACTTAAATGGCAAAATCGAAACCATTCCTTCTGTTAGTAAGATTTCTTTTGCTTTACAAGAGTTGAACAAATTGTTAGGAACTACTTATAAACCATTTGAATACTATGGTCCAGCAAATGCTGAAACTGTTTTTGTCATTTACGGTTCTAGTGAATCCACAAACTTGATTAAATTAATTCAATCATCAACAAACACTGGTGTCGGTGCTATCATTGTTAGAGTCCCATTACCATTTGAATCTGCTAAATTCACCGAGCTATTACCAGCTGGTTTGAAGAAATTGGTTGTTATTGGAGAAAAATTCAACGGTGTTAACTTGTTAAGATTAGACATTCAAGCTTCATTATTCTTGAGTCAAATTTTCATCAACGTTATTGATGAATCTTATTCAGGTTCTTCTTTAGAAATCAATGACTTGAAGGAAATCATTGATGAACATGCTCCTTCATCTGATATTACAAGCTTATCATCTGTTGGATCCAACTTCAAGTTCATTTCAAATGATAACTCTAGATTTGCTGACATTCCTTCAAAAATCGCTCATGCTTTGTCATTGGTTCCTGATTTAAATATCAAGTATAGACCAAAGTTCAACAATTACATTAATGCTGGTTTATTCCAAGCTGATATTAAGGCAGGTAATTCATTTGGTACCGATTTGGATTTAGCTATTATCGAAGATGCTTCCATCTTGAGAAAGATTGAAATCATTCCAAACTTGAAGGAATCAGGTAATATTTTAATTGTTAACGCTCCAGAAAACAAGTTTGATGAAGCCAAGTTTATCGAAAAGAGTTTGACTCCAACATTCAAGAGAGAATTGGCATTGAACAAGCTAAACTTGAAGTTAGTTGACTTGGAAGCTGTTGGTGAAGATGAATCCACAACTGGTAGAACCAGTTCAATTGCAATTCAAGTTGCATTCTGGAAGTTAGCTTACCCAGATTTGAATGTTGGTGGTATCGTTTCAAAGATCTTACAAGCTTTCGGTTCTGAAGCTGAATTATTAGCCTCCGTTATTGCTAACTTGGTTGAAAAGATTACCGAAGTTGGTTTGAGAGAAATCAAATATTCTGAAGAATGGGCTACAATCCCAGAAACTGAAGAATCTGAAAAGAAAGAAGATAACGAATTTGCTGAATTCACTGAGTCATCATTCACTCCAAACCCAAGAGAGAAGTTTGTTGACGAAACTGCTGTCGTTGTTGATTCTCAAAGTGAATTAACCAAGAAGTTGATTTTCAAAGAAGTTTATGATGTCAACAAATCATTGAGACCAGATTTACCTGTTAAGAACTTTGTCGTTAAGGTTAAAGAAAACAAGAGATTAACTCCATCAGACTACGATCGTAACATTTTCCACATTGAATTTGATGTCTCTGGAACTGGATTGACCTATAACATTGGTGAAGCTTTAGGTATCCATGGTAGAAACACTCCAGAATTAGTTGATCAATTCATTGAAATGTACGGATTAAACTCTAATGATTTGGTTGAAGTTGTTTCTAAAGAAGATGACTCTATCTTTGAAATTAGAACTATTAGACAATCATTCATTGAAAATCTTGATTTGTTAGGTAAGCCACCAAAGAGATTCTACGAATCTTTGGCCGAGTTTGCTACTGATGAGGCTGAAAAGACTGTCTTGACCAACCTTGGTTCACCAGCAGGTGCTGATTTGTTGAAAGAATACCAAGAAGTTGAATTCTACAACTACATTGATATTTTCGAGCAATTCAAATCTGCAAGACCAAGTGCTCAAGATCTTGTTCAATTGATCCCAGCTTTGAAGAGACGTGAATATTCTATTGCTTCATCTCAAAAACTACACCCAAATGAAGTTCATCTATTGATTGTTGTTGTTGATTGGAAAGATAAAGCTGGTCGTCAAAGATTTGGTCAATGTTCTAAATACTTAACTGACTTGAAGATAGGTGAGGAATTGGTTGTTTCTGTTAAACCATCAATCATGAAGCTACCACCATTAACCACACAACCAATCATCATGGCTGGTTTAGGTACTGGTTTAGCTCCATTCAAGGCTTTTGTTGAAGAAAGACATTACCAAATTCAACAAGGACAAGAAATTGGTGAGATTTACTTGTATCTAGGTTCAAGACATAAAAGACAAGAATACTTGTATGGTGAATATTGGGAAGCTTATTTGAATTCAGGTGTTATGACCAAGGTTGGTGCTGCATTCTCAAGAGATCAAGCTAAGAAAGTCTATATCCAAGATAAAATCAGAGAAGATTTGACTGCTTTGACTGATCTGATGATAAACAAAAATGGTCATTTCTACTTATGTGGTCCAACCTGGCCTGTTCCAGATATCTCTCAATGTTTGCAAGATATCTTAGAAAATGATGCTGCTGCTAGAGGTGTCACAATTGACTCTGCTAAGGAAGTTGAGGAATTGAAAGAAGATGGTAGATACATTTTAGAAGTTTATTGATTCACATTATTTAATTAGTATATAGTTATTCAAACTGCTAGGTAAATTTATCATTTCAACATTCGTAAATAAAAAAGTAGATTCAGATGTACTGTTCAATTGATACTGAGGTCCGAAAAATTCATTTATATGGGCAAACTTCAGTTAAGAGATGAAAAAAAAAATTAAAAAAATAAAGGGGTCAACTGGGAATTGAACCCAGGGCCTCCTGCACCCAAAGCAGGAATCATACCACTAGACCATTAACCCGATTTGTTGTAAATTTGGGTGCTCGCACTAATCTATGGGTTAGCTAAAAATTTTATGTAAATCCAGCTGAGACACTCGAGACATTCTTTTTCTTTGTGAAATGAGGCAAATTGAGTCCAAATTACTAGATAATCTTGTTGTATCTTTGAGAGTACAATTTCAGTACTGTATTAAGTCAAAGTCAATCAGATTGAGCCAGCTCAGAAGCTTGGGAAATCAATAAAGACTACAAAGCATCATTTTCTAGAGCTAAAAAAGGTTCGCAAATGATAATAATAATTATAATGATAATAGTTTATTTCTTGATGGGGTTGAATCAACCCTCGTCCATTTAATAGGACAAGCATTCTGATAGTAACTACGTTAATAACTGTCACAGATATGCCATTATCTTTCGTATGCTTTTAGTTCACACTTCTTTCTTTTTTTTTTTCAATGTATATGTATCGAGGGATGAGTGTGATTATAAAGTTATAGCATCACAGGTATCACCGCCCGTTCGTAGGTCACTAGTTAAAGAGACGTAGTACTGGAGACGGTTCACAGTCTGGTTGATACCCCCCTCACGCTGTTATAGTTAAGTACCTGTACTAGTATTTAGGTTGACTTAACTACC